ATTTCCAAGTTGCCAAAATAGGAGTACTAGCACTACCACCTACATTTAACCTGGATTGTGAACCTCTTTATCATTATTACCTTTCTGTAGTACCCCAAAATTTTCCCTCTCTTTTTCTAACATTAAATGGCTTGTGTTCTTTGCATCTTACATTTCTGCATATCATAGCATTGGTTCTTGAGGCATGGGATCAAGGTGTTTTCATGGCTCAGGGCTCCCTTTTATTGCAAGAGTTTAAACAACGAGCGTCAGAGGCTCCGACATTTATTTTGCCCAATGATCGAGTGACCGATTTTATTTTATTCAGCATGTTATTTTTAGCCCAGGAGATGGTGCACAGGCTATCTCAGGCATTCTCACAGTTATAATATCGAAGGGCAAGTTTCAGAGGCTTAACAGAGCTCAGAACAGGTGGCAACAAATGATTATATAAGTTTCCCTCAATTTGGCGCCAAAATTGGCATTTTTTGAATGTGGTAACCGGTTACCACCTATGGGTAATCGGTTACCCTGGGCGAAATTTGCCAAGAAATTTGAATTTTCAGCATTGCAAATTTTTAATCATTCTCAACCATTGATTTCACATGATCATCATTGGAAGGATCTAGAATTGTTTCAATTTTCACCATTTCCCTCCAAATTTCAAACACTTCATTCCTAATTTTACTCCTAATTTCCATTTCAGACACTAATACACATTCCAAACCACATTTTGATTCCAAACCTAGAGCTTATTTAAGTGAATTTGCTCCAAGCCTCAAGAGAGGAACCTTCATTTTCAGATTTCACATTCATTCTTGAGAATTTGCTCTCAACTTTCTCTCCACTTTTTCACTCCCAAAACCTCTGTTAAAGCTCTTTCCACTTGAGTTCATTGATTCTTCATTAGAATCCTTGAATTCTAGAGCTAAACCTCCATCGTTCATCTCCATCATCTTCAATTCATCACTCAATTTTCGTTTGAATTGAGATCTGAATTTGGAAGCTAGATTTGAAGTGCTTTTGGATTAATCTTGGCTTGATTTTGCTTGTTCTTCACTTCTACTATAAGGAAGCTCTTGGATCTTAAAGATTCTCTGGGTTTCTAGCTTGGATCTGTTAGTTTCAAGTAAATCAACACTTACCAAAGCAAATCTCAGCTTTGAAGGTTGGTAATTCTAGATCCAATTCTTGTTTTGAACTTATTTGCATAATCACAATGTAGATCCATGGCTTTTGATGCATTTTGATCCATTTTGATGATTTTGATCTTTGTGATTTGTGATTTCAATGTTTTATTGTGTTTACATGATGTTTGATCACTGATTCTTGATGATAAATTCGTGCATAATTGATTACTTGTTAATTTGGATGTTTGGATAAGTTGTTGGTTGTTGAAAAGTTATTTCGGAAGCTATTTTTCTGTTTCTGTCTCAATGGTAATCGGTTACCATTATCAGGTAACCGGTTACCTTGCCTAATTTTCACATTTCTGGACTTTTTTTTAACAGGTAACTGGTTACCTGATTCTGGTAACCCGTTACCACTGGGATAGTTTGCCTTTTTTCAAAGAGGTAACATGTTACTTGATTCTGGTAACCCGTTACCACTGGGACAGATTGCCTATTTTTTGCATTTCTTGCTTGTTTGAGTTTCTTTCCACCTCTAAACTTCATGGATTGATATGATGCATTTATGTGGACTGTTCTTGACATATTTCATCATTCTTGAATGTTTGATCTCGATTCTTCGACACGTAACTTTCGGTTTTCGTTTGAATGCTTAACATGTTCATATTGCTTGATTGATGAATGATCACGTGCCTTTCTTGCTTAGATCATTTTAATTGATTATCATGAATGTTTGTTTTGCTAGATTTGTGATGCATGTGTGTGTTTGCTTTCGATTCTGTTTGTTGCATGTTTGTTTGATCGTTCGATCATTTGATTTGAATTGAAAAATACGATGATCTTGTTGATTCTTAATGATGCAATGTTGTTGATCAATTATGTTTGATTCTTGAAGCATGTTCATACTTGTATGATATCTATCCATGATTGGTGTTTGCTTATGTTTGATTGCATTAAATCATGCTTGCTTGCTTGCTGCCCCACTTTTCACAACTGTTCTTATTTTGAATTTGCATGTTGTCCTTGCCTTACTTACTTGCTGCCTGCCTTTTTACACCTACTTTTATGCTGAAACATGTGTTGTTATAGGTTGTCTTGCTTGTGTGCTGGATTTTATTGATGTTTTATGCATGAGGAGCTGTTGTAGCTGCTACTTTTACCTTGTTTCTTTGCTTTTTTATTTGTCTTTGCATGCTCCCTTAGGATTCTTAGTCCAATTTAATTTTTGATTAAGCTTGAAGTAGGATAGACGTTAGGAGTTTATTCCATGCATGATAACAAGTAGGCTAGTCTCTCTCAACCTCAACCTTAGGTCCATCTTTTGCATGCTAACATTATGATAAAATTTCCTTTCGCATCCCGACCTTAGGAACACTTTGCATGACAATGTTAGGACCGAGTTTCCCTTAGACCTTACGTACGTCTCTCTTCTCATCTCAAAACACATTCTAAATCATCTAATAAATACAATGAACATTATACGCTACGAGCCTTAAGCACATGAGAAATGATGAGTGAGGGGTCTCCTCTCGCTTGTTTAGAGTGTTTAGTGTACGTCCCGTCTGGAGCCGATATGCGATGCATTCGTTCCTATGTCATAGTCTTTAGTGCAACGTGAAACACAAAACAAACTAATCCTTTTCACTAAAACTCACACAAAAAGTCAAACCTTTTATCCTTTGAGATTGTGTTTCAAACTCATTTTCAGAAAAGAGTACATTACTTTTCCGTTCTACCGCAAATAGGCATCATCCCTAACTGCTGGAATGGGAACTTAACGTCACTCATAAAAAACACTTAACCAACCTGTGGTTTCCTCTTTTCCTGAACTACGTATACTCTGATTTCTCATACCAGGTGAGGATACGTAGGCACAAGACGACGATGTTTTGGCGAGCAACCTTCCCCTATCACCCGTAGTTTTCCGAACTATGTTGACTCTGACTTTTCCATTACACGAGGGAATACGTAGGCATAGGGCGTCGATGTCTTATCGAGTCTCTTTCTTTTTCTTTTGTTCTCGTTTTTGCTTAGCAGTAGCTTTTAGATAACACACCCTTTGATTAGACAACAAGCGTGGATCCCGTTGAGTACAACGGACGTGAGGGGTGTTAATACCTTCCCCTTGCCTAACCGACTCTCGAACCCAAGATTTTATTGCAATGACCTTGTCTTTTCCCGTTCTTCAGGTTTTCTTCAATCGTTTCCTTTTCCTCTCTTTGGGATAAATAACGTTCGATGGAAACTCTTCTGTTTTTCCGCCGGGTGTTTTTCGCAGTTGCGACACTTTCAACCTCAACTTTCTCTAAATACAAGCTTCTAAATGTTTCTTACCATTAGAAGTACTTTTCCACTTCACATCATAAGTGTAAAGCTTACCACATCATCTGCACTTCCACTTCTTAATACCATCATGCATTTCAATATGTAGCATTTCAGTATGAACAACAAAGTTTTTGGGACGAGGAACTTTACCAAATACATTTCTCTAAGTAGTGCTATCAGTTGGAATCTCCAAATCAGTAGTATTCTGAGTCGTATTCTAAGTAGTGTTATCAGTTGGAAGCTCCAAATCATTAGTATTCTGAGTAGTGGTATAAGTTGGAAGCCCAAAATCAATCATCTCTCAATCTATATATTTCCTTCCATTGTCTCATCCTCCCCAATCCCATCAAGATCGATTTCAATATCAAGATCATCCATGGTTGGAGTCAATGATAAATTTTGAAAAGACATGGAATAAAATATAATATCAATCAAACAATAGTATAATAATTTACAAAACTCAACAACAGAAGTCAAAACTCATGTCAAAATTGAAACATGTATGTACAAACAACAATCAAAATTCAAAACATATTAGCTAAAATCGAAACATGTTTATTATCATTTCAAACATTTTGAAATAAATGAAACACTCAGAGAAGTATGATAAAACGGAAAAAAAAATGATGAACATAATAAACAAAATATGAAGACATTAAAGGTTGAAGGTTGAAGATGAAGACATTACCCATACGAGGTTGAAGATGACAACAAAATACTAATGATGAAACTCAGACGAGGCGAAGTTGGAAAGGGAGAAGACAAGGCAAAGTTGGAAATTGGGGAGGGAGATGAGAGATTTGCGTTTGACTGATTGTTGACTAAGATTTAGATGGAAACATATATACTTCGCCAATATTGGATACTTATTGAATATTTAGATTCTCTATTTTGGTATCGGATAAAAAAATTATCCATTCCCGAACTAAGTAACACTTCGGTCGGTCCATTGATTCAATTCTAATAAACTGATTCATGAGTGGATCACAGGTGATTCTTCCAAAAACAACCATAATCCCTTTCTCTATACATTAAAAAGAAAACAAATAAGAAACAAAAGGGAATTTATGTAATTTTTTAATCATAAATTTAATTTTAAAAACTAGAATAGTTTTGGATCTGTCTTTGTATTTATTTGATTGACTTCAACACTAATAATTCAAGCAAAACCATATGACAAAAATGATTAACTTAATTAAATAATCTAAATCCATATAATTAGCCAACCCAAAATTTATTTGTTTTCTCCAATCTCAACGCTACACTCAACATTTCCACATTGTCAACATCACTGCATGTCGGCTCCCTTTCTCCAAGCAACTTCAAAAGCACCTTCCTTCCGTTTTTATCGTCCACGCGTCACTTCCTCACACACTCCTTTTCACAGATCCAAAACCTACACGTGTCACAATCTCATAATCTCAAGCAAAAAACCATTACGAATCATCTTCCAACACGTGTCCTCCATTTCCTCTCCTATAAATACCCTAAACCCACGTTACTAACTTTCAAACACAAAATCCAAACACAGCCCTTTTAATCAGTTTTTGTCTTCTTTCACTTTCCATGATCCAAACAACAAACGGGTCGGGTCGTCGGGTATTCAACTTCCCGGCGGTTCATCCATCCCCAAACATTGCTCTTTCCACTCTTCTCACTTCCCTCATCGCTCTCTCCGATGATATTTCCAATTTCCAACACAAATTCTTCTCTTCCAATAAACGAAACGCGAGAAACGCTGTTCGTTTGATTCATCTCCTCCAACCATTCCTTCATGATATCCGAGAAAATCACTCCAATCTTCCATCTCCGGCGACCCTTTGTTTCACCGAGCTTCATTTCATCTTCCAGAAGCTTCTATTCTTGATGGAAGATTCAACCAGAGAAGGTGCGAGGTTGTTTATGTTAATGGAGTCGGGTCGGGTTGCGACGATGTACGGGGTGTTGTTCCGATCCGTTACGACTGCGCTTGATATTTTTCCTTTTGATAGTGTTTATATGTCTGTGGAAGCTAAAGAGGATGTTTTGTTGTTGATGAAGCAAGCGAGGGAGGGAAGGTTTGAATTTGAGGCTGAGGACGAGGATGTGGTGATGTGTGTTGTGAATGTCTTGAAGCTGTTTGAGAAAAGGGTTGCTCCTGAAAAGTTTGATATGAAACGTGTTCTTGATTATATTGGGGTTTTGAAGTGGAGTGAGGTTAATAAAGAGGTGAAGTTTTTGGATGGTGAAATTGGGTTTGAATGGTTGAATGAGAAAAAGAAAAAGGTGGGTTCTTTAAGTGGTTTGATGGGGTTTATGAGTTATTGTAGATGTGTGGTGATGGAAATCGTGGACTTTGAAGAGGGGGAAAGTAGTAATAAAATTGATACAAGAATAGAAACTGAAATGATTTTGAGTTGTGTAAACTCGGATGATTTTCGATGTCCAATCTCTTTGGAATTGATGAGTGATCCTGTCAATATAGAAACAGGTCATACTTATGATCGTTCTTCAATTCTCAAATGGTTTAGAAGTGGAAATGCAATGTGTCCAAAGACGGGTAAAAGTCTTAGCAGCATTGAATTGGTACCTAATTTGGTACTTGGGAAGTTGATTCAACAATACTGCAATGTCAATGGCATTCCTTTTTCTGATTCGGGTCGTCGGAATCGGGACATGACAAGGACAATGCAGCCTGGAAGTGCAGCTGCTGAGGGAGCAATGAAGCTCTTGGCTGGTTTTCTTTGTGGATGTCTTGACAACGGAAATGTGGAACAGAAGAGCCGTGCTGCATTGGAGGCAAGAGTTCTTACCAAAACAAGCATTTTTAGTAGGTCTTGTTTGGTAGAAGCTGGTTCAGTTCCTCTTTTGTTGTTGTTGTTGGCATCAAGTGATTCATCAGCACAAGAGAATGCTATTGCAGCCCTTTTAAACCTCTCAAAATACACCAAAAGTAGAAGTGAAATGGTTGAAAATTGGGGATTAGAAATGATTGTTGGGGTCTTAAACAAAGGGATAACAATCAAAGCAAAACAACATGCTGCAGCAGTGTTGTTTTACCTTGCTTCAAATGCCGACCATGGTAACTTAATCGGCAAAGAGCCAGAAGCAATTCCATCATTGATCAGTCTCATCAAAGACGGCACTGATCGAAGTGTAAAGAATGGCTTGGTTGCAATTTTTGGCCTCCTAAAAAGCCATGAAAATCACAAGAGGATACTTGCTGGTCAAGCAATTCCTTTGTTAGTTAACATCTTAAAAGCACATGAAAAAGAAGACTTTGTCACAGACTCACTAGCAATTCTAGCAACTCTTGCAGAGAAAAGTGACGGAACAATGGAAATCCTTCGTTTTGGAGCTTTGCATGTAGCCGTTGAAGTTATGAGTCCTTCCTCCACTACTTCAAGATTAGGGAAAGAGCATTGTGTGTCTTTGTTGCTTTCTCTATCAATGAATGGAGGAGAAAATGTGGTTGCTCATTTAGTAAAGAGTTCTTCTCTTATGGAATCTTTATATTCACAACTAAGTGAAGGAACTTCTAAAGCAAGCAAAAAGGCAAGTTCTCTCATAAGGGTTCTTCATGATTTTTATGAAAGGGGATCCTCTAACTACAAGACATCAGTTATTCCACGTGAACAATTCATTCATGTATGGTAAATTTACTAAACCTGGTATATTTTTTCAACCCGGGTATTCTTTGATTTGTTTTTAGTGATATTGTGAATTGTAGATATTGTAATAACACTATAAATTTTCTTCACCTTTTATTCATTTGTTGTACTTGATATGAATTAGCTCATGTTTTAAAGAGCTAATTGTTTAATCAGCTTCTGTTTTTAATGATGAAGCTTGTACAAATGATTGTAAATATTTTTCCTTGTATTAATCAAATAAGATTGTAATCTCTATTCATCAATAAAAATGTTCTTTCATTTTTTCTTTTGTTGTAAACAATTTTGTCAAAATTGAGACTTTATATTAGATCGGAAGAGGAGAGTAAAATCCTAAAATATAAAATCGTAACTAAAATTAAAAGGGGAGATAAAATCGTAACTAAAATCGAAAGATTCTATCCAATTAATTTTATAGGATCAATATGGGATATCAAGATCGTAAAATATAGAATTATAACTAAAATTGTAAGATTCTACCAAAATAAAAATAATTATAAAAAATATATTATACTCTCTCTGGTTCTTAAAAAAAAATTTAGATTCATTGAAAATTAATGTATTTGGACCATATATGATCTAAATACATTGTTTCTTCAATAAATCTAAAACATAAGTTTTTTTTCTTATATTAAGAACGAGAGGGAGTATTAAATAAGCATAAGTTTATATGTTAAATATAAAACCAACTGATCTTACTGGATCAGAAAGGGATCAGTGGCCAGTGACACGTTGTGAGCTCCTTAATTCGTCGGTGGTGGAGAAGAGGAGGGGAGTGTACTTGCAAGGTACTTTGATGCTAAAGTGAGACACATAGTAAGAGAAAGGCATGTACAGAAAGCAAGATCGTGAATAGAATACCTGACCCTCTAGTAAAAGAGGGTATTTATAATGTGCCCCCGGCGCGGGGCCAACTGTTACTTTGCATTGGGTTGGATTGCTAGGCCCAATGCAAATAACTGACAGGGCTTACGTGGCGTAGGGAAGACTAGCACGTGGTCTTCGCCCTAGGTCAACTTCCCCGTGATCTTCGGAAGGTGGGTAGTTGCCTGATGACATGTCCCCGCATGGGTGCACTTGGAGTCCGCCGGGGAGACGCGTGAGTGCTCCCCGTGTAATGTGATAAGTTGGACCCTCATTGGGCCTTCTCCGACTAAGAAATGGGTTGGGTCGTGCCAGGCAGTGGAGCAGTCTCTGACCCAGTCCAGAACACCAACAATCAAGTTTCAAATCTTAAATATAAAATTAAAAGTTTTAAATTTTAAACATAAAACAACTAACTCCACAAAATAAAATACTTAAAAGGCTATAACAATTCACTAATGCGCCAAGAATGTGGATCATTTCTCATAATATCATCTCTTTCATCTTCATGAACTTCGTCATTTCCATAAGCATCACCATCATCAGAATCATCATCACCATCACCTATATCATCATTTCCTCCTTCATTGTCATTTTTTATAATTTTAGGGACATTGAATTTATCTACTAGTACAGTTGATTTAGCATTATTATGGCTAGTTTGATCAATATTCATCAAATTTTCATCTAGATCAATGATACTTACACGAGTAACACCTCCATTTTCTTCTTCAGCTATATACCACCAATAATCATCATCTTGAAAATCGTCAATTATTCGATCTTATTTTTTCTTTCAATATTATTCTAGGTCAATTTTATATTTACCATCACATACACTAGATCATTCATAACCTTTTACTTCAACCGATTTATTTTCTTTGTATAAAGCTAAATAGGTTAAATGTTAATTTGAAATGAATAACACATAGTACATACGAAAATCATATATTGCGAATTTAAAAACTTACCATCTCAAAAGCACTTCAATTCCTCTCACAGCCTGAAAAACTACAGGTCAAACTCAATACACAGATATTGAAGTTTTGCAACTCTGGGTGTGCATCGCAGTAAGATTTAACTATTGAGTTGGTGTCTTGTTTACTAATCCACATTGAGCTATTTCACTCTCAAAGAACTTTACTCTTAAAATACTCAAGTTGACAATCAATTTTATTCACCATATTCATATATCCTCCCATCATTCTTTTTAAACATGCAGACATTCATTGCTTCACTTCATTATCAACTTTAAAATTAGGTTTGTAATGCAACATTGGATTGAGATAATAGCCTGCAGCATGCAAAAGCCTATGAAATTGTTTGTCCCATATTTTATCAATAATTTTCTATAAAAATTGATAACTAAAGAATCAAAAGATTAAATTAGTTCATAAATAATTATTAATATACTACTTATTTTGAATAAATCAATGGAAGAAATTTTATTAAACTAAATATCTTTTTTCTTACTATAACTAGTTTATATCTCCTTTTTTTACTAAATCCATTGCTTCATAGATATAGTCCATGAATGCTTTCTCATTAGAATCTACCATATGCATGACTTTAAGTAATGAAAAAGCACCTTTAAGCAAATAATCAAATTCTTTCAAAAATTCTTGTTTGTGACTATATATTTTCAACCAGTTTCTCATCCTTTGTATTAAAAATTGACTATCCTTCCATTGTTTGGAAGTGAACATCTTATACAACTTTCACCTATTTTCATTCAAACAACCCAAACACAAGTAAGATGTTGTAAAACGAGTTATTTCAGGTCTAATCAACTCACCTCCTTCTGGATAATGATGCAACAAAGTTATAAGACAGGTCTTAGCATAGATGTAACTTGTGATTTTTTTTTACCCGAAGCAATAATCTCCTTATGCATAGGTATCTTGCTCTCGAAATCCTCCAACGTTAAATCAATGTAATGAGCCACACAGGGTATCCAACAACGCCTATTTCTCTTTCCCGTCAATATTTGTCTAACCAACTTATAATTTGTAGCATTGTCTGTTACAATTTAGACAACATTTTCTTCACAAACTTCCTCCACAATGCCATCCATCATTTTGAAAACTTTATCTGATGTATTTGAAATGGCAGAAGCCAATTGATTTTAAAAAGAAAGTTTCCATATAACTATTGACCAAAATTTAATGATAGTTCTCCTCCTTTGGTCAGTTCATCCATCTTACGATTGTACATCCAAACTTTTTTCAAGAACCCATATGTTCCACCAATATGCTACCTATATCCTCAACTTTTTTCTTCAAATGCTTACCTTGAATGTCATGGTAAGATGGTGGATTATATCATTACCAAATTGAGAAAACATATCACGTATCTTTATAAATTTTTTATCTTTTACAACATTAAAGGACATAGTATTGTTGTAAAATTAAGTTGCAACTTGTAGGCTAGTGTTATCTTTCTCTTTTTTCTGAAAAGTATTATTAATAGTTGATTGGGAAGTTGCCTCTCTCTTTAAAATATTTGTAACACTCAAAGACTCTACTTTTTTTTCTTCTTCCATCTTCCACATCAACTTCTATTACATCCTGACTTAGAGTTCTCTTCTTTATAAGGTTGGTTTGCAATTTATGAACAATGTTCCACATTTGTTTACAAACTTCATCCAAAAAGGATACCATGATTTGACATTTATATTTGTGCATGTTAAGTGATGCTTTAATCGAAAGAAACCACCATAATATTCATTATGACAATAGTTGCACTTGATTTTTTTTGTTCCTTCCACAACAATGCCATGTTGTCATCCCACATCTTGTCAATGACTAGCACCATTTTTTGCAACATTTCTACTCCCAAAGTCCCAACACTTGGATTTGTTGCAGTATCAAAAAATAATATATTACAAAAGATGAAGGGAAACTTGAAACACAGAAGATTAAGTCAAAGCTCGAAACGTAGAAGATGAACGGCGAAGCCAAACAAGGTTTTAATTCAGATGTATTACAAAAATCAAGTTTTTCTTTGCTTTTATAGGAATCAGATTTCAAATCGGGTCAATATTTCAACTGGGTAATAAGACTGAGAATAGTAAGATTTACCCAGAATAGTGAGATTTCACGCTGGTAGAAATTTTCGTCGTGATTTTTGGTAATTTACGGCTTTGGTTATGATCCAGATCAACGATGGATGGAATTGAGATCGCAAGATCGTGCAATTCGTCGATCTAGATCGAGATTTTGGTATTGGTTCTAATAGCCCTCTTCTCTCAAAAGACCTCCGCACATATATAAATGAGTTTTTTCATAAGTAAGTTCCCTCTACAACCCATGGGGTGCTTCCACGCCCCGGTGAAAAGTCACAACTGCCTCTAGAACACGGAGATGCATCTCCAGACACACCCTTTTTACACATTCATCAGCGCAAATTAGTGAGTCACGCTTGTTTTGCCAACTTTTATTCCAAAGATGCATCTTTGTATCTGCATTAGAATGAGCCCAGAGATGCATCTCCATAATTACCCTTAATTCAAATTTCACTGAGCTTTATGGAGATGCATCTCTGGAATATGCTATGTTAGGTCAAACCATAAATAATAGTAGAATATTGAAAAAAGCAACACAAATTAACATTCAAACATTTAACATTATATAGATAATTATTAACATAAATTTAAAATTACATTTCATTACAAACGAATGGTTCAGAACTGTTGGGTGAGAATATGGAAGTAGAAAAGCGGTCTAGAGTGGGTGAATAAATCCTAATTAAAAATTCAATCAATTTTCCAAAAATAGGATATCAGAGGTTTTTCAAAAGTGCGAGTAAAAGGTTTGAAATGAAAATATGAAGATTATACTTTTATTGGAACTTGATCACATTAACGCTTAATCAATCTACAAATATCAATTGATGGTTTTATGATGATACACAAAGGTATTCAATTGATTCAGTTTTATATTCCACATGGTGTGTTTATACAACGATTCAATATCAATGAATCCTAACCTCAATATTTTCTCATAATTTAATCACTGATTCATCTCAATTAGGCGCCAATTCGATAATAAAAAAAACTAACTTTGCGTAATAAATCACTAACAATGAATAAACAATGAACTACACTAGAATTAAAATACCTAA